TTAGTCACCATTACACTCGTATTACCCAATTTATTAAACGAAAAAGGGAAAATACAGTAAAACATTTTGGACGTTACAATTATCATTTATCATATTATTTATGGCATCAAGCATGTACAGTATGAGCCAATCAGTGGCAGTAATGACAGCATGCGCTGTTACACAAAAACCGCGATAGAGTGAAGCCGCGGAAGTCGAAGCGCAAAGTGGTGAGGGTTCACTGTACTTGACAACTTCTTGTCATGATGCTGCTTATCGGTTGTCATGGGAAGTTTTTTGTTTTGTTTTTTATGTTGAGGGCTAATCCAGGCTGAAAGCTGCCGTGTTTGGTGGTCATCAGGAAAGTGCTCCAGGTTCTCCTCATTTGTGTTGCCTGCGGCTGTTGGTGGTGGATGCCATTCAGGTGACTCCCGCTCCTGTATCACAGAATGAAACCCTGCCTCGGCTCGCACCGTCCTCCCAGGTGCTCTTCTGGTTGAGCCCCTTGTTGTAGCTGCTCCACTGTGTCCACCCATCTTGTTGAGGTCCTTCCTTTTTCGTGCTGCCCTCCTTCATTGCCAAGTGTGTCTTCGCCAGGGACTAGTCTCTCCTGACATGTCTATAAAGTACATGAGATGTAGCCATCTTTGGCTGCATCTCTTCCCAAGACAGGTTTGTTTGTTCTTTTGGCGGTCCATGGAACTTTTCAATATTCTTTGCCAGCACCATAATTCAAATGGATCAGTTCTGCCTTCAGTCTTTCTTATTCGATGTCCAAGTTTCACATGCATATGAAACTATTGGAAATGCCATGGCTTGGGTCTCAAAGCACCATCTGCAGATAACAGGTTGTTAACCCTAATGCATGTTGTCTGGCCCTTCATAAGATGTGCTTGGCATACAGATTTGAATAAAATAGTAAAAGGATATAACCCTGATAAATACATTTTCTGATTTTAATAGAAACAATCCAGATTATAAATGTAGATTTTGTATGAATAAGTGCTCAGTCACAATATGTTTTTTAAGGTACTGATGATTTATTTGACTGGCTAATTTTATATTTGTCAAAGTCAGACTGTTTCTCATAATATGCTTATCTTAAATTGTTTATTTCTGTCACACCTGTTTATCCATTTTACTACTTCACCTTGATTAAACCAGTTGACCGAGAGGTTCTACATTGATTAAAATGTATTGTTGTATAATCTGAGCTCTGTAAGGAACTGACGGAAATTTGAAATTTCGAATTGTGTTTTGAAACAGAATGAGTGCAGGCTTGCTGATTCTTCTGCTCTCCCTGTTGGTTATAACATTTCTCATAAAAAGAAAAGAGCGCGTCTTCAGTGAAGAGATACTGGTACATATATTACAGGTCAGTAACAGATTTCCAGCATCGTGTTGCCCTCACGGTAACACTGAGACAGATCTGACAGTGGTGTTTAATTTGGTTGTTCTTAAGGTGCCATGCCGTTTAAGTCCTTTGATTCCTGCCAGCTACAAAAAAGTGAAAGATTGAACATGGAAATATGTTCTCTTACAAAAGACAAAACAGCACAGTAGGCATCCTGAGGAAGACCAGAGAACCCTTGAGAGGAGAGGGCGCAGCACCTGCCAGAAGGTTGAGCTACAGAAGGGCCTTCCTTCCAGGCTTGCCGTCCCTGGTTTCCTCCTTTGGGTTGAACAAGCTAATTAGAGCCTGAAAAAGCCAAGGCTCTTTGAAGTGAAAGCAGCCACGGGCAGTGCTTAGATGATGAATAGGCAGGCCAGGTTTCCAATGGCATCCCAGGGGAAAAGGAACTTCTGCTTGTTTGGTTGGCAGAGTGGAAGAGCTGTGTGCTAGGCCTTTAAAACGGAGTCTGACTCCCACGGGCTGCATACTAGCTGTGCGGTCATCTGTCATTGCACTTCAAGGTGTGGGGTCCGTTTTCAATATGTAATGTACAGGTACTATGTAAAAGCGTTGTTAGGATTAGAGATTGATTACCGGTATATACGCTTTATCAACTCTTAACTCTTTGGCAGTTAAGGACAAAACCCACTTGTTTTTCTTTGAAACAAAAACTCCACGTCTAAAACACTGGAAAAAGCAAAACTCAGGAGTCTTCTCAAAACGTTTCCTTAGGGCAAACTGTGGGTAATGTATTTCCAAGAACACCCTGAGGAAAAAATAATAATACACCTAAGAGGTGATAACTTCAATTTATTCCTTTACAGAAATAGAAAACTGATGTAAAGAAATATTTTGTCAACGAGCCCGCTAAGCTGTGCTTTATTTATGTGGTGTCCTGCTGGACTCCGTGTTAAAGCCCGGCGTTACTTTGACAGAACTGTCAGCTAGTGAGTGCATTGAGAGAAGTCGATCTTTCTGAAGCTCATTCATAGGGTCTTGTGAGTGCTCTGTGAGATAGATCCCCGAGCATTAAGTAAATCCATTACAATATTCCCTTTTCCAATAACTTTGTTAAATTGCATTTAATTCTTGTTATTGAGAAACGTTTACCCTCTTAGCCTTTGTTTCCCCCCTAAAATAAATTTAAATACGTTACATTTCCTTATTTCTTTCTGTTGCAATGTTAAGCATTTCACCTTTACAATCAATGATACTCAAAAACATACTATTTTTCTTAATATTAACATAAATTTCAGGGTCACTTCCACTCACCCCATGAACCTAATCACAGAAATACTGAGCGTGTTTTCCCATTATAACTTTAATCCCCCATGATTCTTACCATCGGATGGTCATTGCAGAAACACTCACTGTGTGCTTACTAGGTGCACAGCTGTAACTTTTAGCCGCAGACATTTTCATAGAATGGCTGCCGCTTGGCTCCACACCGCTAACCTTTTGAAAGTACTTCTGTTGACTTGGGTTCTCTTTTTACTCCTTTAGTTTCTGATCTGAATAGCAGGCGTCTTTCACTCTCTCTTGATTGACAGGTTACCTTCTTCACCCACTCACTTCTCCACAGTGGGCCCCTCATCAATTCGCAGACACACACGCCTCCCATTTTCTCAGTTCTACAGTGAGAGGCTGACTCACAATGGAAGGATCCTGTGCGTTTGGGCCGTAGCTTTGTTGACAGCAGTTAGTCTTCTTCATTTACTGATAACGTGACAGTGGGAGCCAGGTGGTGCTGTTGGGGAGGATGGGCCGCAAACTGAAGTTGGTCGTGGAGGAAGAGTGCCCCCGTCTGCTTGACAGCCTCGAGACTCTACGGGCAGCTCTTCCGGGTCCTGCAGGGCTGCTATGAATCAGAATTGAGAGCAGAGGATTTGCTTTGGGCTTGACACTAGTTTATATGTAGTCCCTAACGAGTGTTTATGCTCCGTGTTATTTCAATGCAAGGTACATGCTCAGGCCACAGATACATGAATGGATGGATGGATGGATTTCATAATAGAGGAGGGCCAGAGGTCGCAGGAAGACATTACAATGGTCCATACAGTTCACTCTCATATTTCCATGGTAAAGAAACCTTAAACATTAATATTGAATGCTTCCAAATAAAAACGTGGTAACAGATGCCAGAATGTTCTTGAAATGGTAAAATGCACCATTCCTGCGGGTGGAGGCTCCTTTGCTTGATGGCAGAGCACTATCTTGGCCATAAGAAGGTGAGCTAGGTCCAATGTAGATGTCTTTGTCTCCAGCACACCCCAGGTCATGTCTCTCCCCCCGCTATAAGTGACCCGTCCTGGTCTTTGTTTTCAGGTGCTGAGCACAGTGTTGGCCATGCTCGTGGTGTCCGGCACCCACAGCAGTCTGCTGCGGAAGCAAGGGCTGCCTCTCGCCAACCAGATGGTTAGCTGGGCGATCCTAGGTGAGCTGTCACTCACACCCACGAGATCACGTGGCACCAACTCCATTATCTTCAGATTACTCATTTACATCTGTATTAGTGTTACTGGAAGAAATCATTTTATTAAAAAAATATATGAGGGGTTTCAAAAGTTTGTGGAGACCTTCTATGATCTTTTAGTCACGTTTTTTCATGAATGTTTTGGAACCTCTTATACTAGTAGCCAGTTGTTATTTCCTTCTCTTCTTTGAATTCGACAGAGAAATAAAACCACTGCGAGCATGCAAATATATGTATCCTATATATGAATTACTTGAGGAAATATTTATGACCCGGTATATTAGCCTGCATACTTCACATCCGAAATAAAGCGACTGTGTGAGTCCAGAAGAGGAGTTTCTGAGGTGGCTCTTATGGTTCATTTTTATGTTCGCTCATCAATTCTCTAGCCTTCTTACATAGGGACTCAGAAGCAGTGAAGGGTTTTTTTACTGACAATAACTTTGATCAGTCACCTCCCAACACATTACCCATGTTCTAAAACCTGTAAACCATTTCAACCCTTGGCCGTCCTGAAGTAGAGGAAAAGGGCCCTGGTGGCACTGTGGATAAGCCGACGGCAGCATTAGCCATTCAAACCCACGCATTGCTCGCAGGAGAACGATGAGGCCGCCTGCTCCGCAAAGATCCAGGACAGCGGCTCCCCACCCTCCTCACGCCGCGACCCTTTCAGACAGTGCCTCTGGGTGGTGACCCCCAACCATAACATTCTTTTCGTTGCTACTTCAAAACTGTCATTTTGCTACTGTTATGAATCGTCATGTAAATATCTGACATGCAGGATGTATTTTCTTTTTTT